TTCCATGGAGAACCATAAGAGCCAAGACCGCTAACACAATCAGGGAGCATAACTTGAGCTTCTTAACCTTTTCAGTGATTGCTTGGTTGGCTCGTACATGGCAGCGACGGACGTCAGGGACCCATGCCATGTAGGCACACACTACGATGCCGAGAAGCAGATAGAACTCAGGGTCGCATAGGTAAGTTGTGACAAAGTCGTACTGGTCCTGAAAGACCCAGAGTCCTCCTCCTCTAGTGGGCATTCTTCTGTTGTGTTCTCGGAGATGTTTGTAATGGAGATGTAGATAGTTAAGGAGGTTTGTGCAAGCTTGCGAAAGTGGTGATGGAAGAGGTTGTTCGCGAGAGGAAATTTTAGAAAGAGAACGAGAGGGGCTATGATTAGTACTAATGATATGACACTGCCAGTGCTTCTCACAACAGTTGTTCTTGCTGAACTCTGGCATAAAGCTTTCAGCAGGTGTGCTGCCTGATAACTCAGTAATTCCCAAGAATCTCTTGGTCAGTCATTGCTAGCTCAGTGTTTGAAGTCGACTAGCACCATGCGATAAGTCTGCTGTTCAGGTCGACGATGCGGTATCAGAATAGGCGATTACATCGGCAAGCGGCTGCATCCAGACTGTCTGGTGTAACAATAAATCCAGCTGACATATTGACGAGGTTGTTTTCATAGAGGCAGATCAACATATGTGTGATACGGCGATGTACACGGCATGTGTTCTCGTTGGAGATATTGTATGTTCGCGGATTCCCTTAAGTTTATCAACGAATAGAACATCCAGAAAGTAAGGATCTATGAGTCCAAGAACGTCTGGTACGATGCAATATGTTTAACACTTGCTATCTTCCGCTTTACGAGCGAGGGCCTTTGGTGAAGGATACCCACCATGCAATGCAATTGGTCTGCGTCAAAGAACAAAGAGCTATGTTACCCAACATGATATGACTTTGCAATTCTTGACTTTCAACTCTAAACTATGCCTGCAATTCCAAAGCGCTATTCGATGGATCCGACAGCAATTCATGTTCCTTTCTCTTCATCTGGACAACCTTGCGGACAGCGCCGGCAGCGTAAATGGCAGAGACAAGAATACCGACAATACTGTATCCAACAATCAAGGCTGTAGATGCACTAGATAACTGCAACCCGATGCCTCCGTTGATTATCCCGACAATCATGATGTCTCTCCCGTACCAAATATGTCCATAGCTGATTGTCGTTCGACGTTGGTACTTGACATAATTCCTGTGGTGCATCCATCCCAAAATAGGCTGCACGATCATCAAGACGCACACTATTGTCCCTAGGACAACATGAGGTTCATGGAACCACTATAGAATGTTAGTTAATGTTGACAAATGATGCATGGGACTTACATCTCCTCCACGATCAGCAGCGATTTTCCCAATCCCAAAGCCAATCCACATTCCTACAAAGGCGATGATCTGCCACGATGCATGAATAAGCCATTTCCCAAGCAGAGGCATGAGAACAGAGCCAATTGGGAACCCGACGAGGAAAACGACGGCCATGATAACGCCGTGTGCTGAGCCAGTATGATCTTCACCTCCACCGCCGCCGGAGACAGCATTGTCGCTTGGTGTAGTGTTGGGTGAGTTGAGGAAAGGGTTGGACGTGCCGCTGACGGTAGCTTTGGAAAGATCAACAGAGAAGCTATCCGTTCCATCATGCTCAGCAAAATCACTGCTTGCATCGCTTGTGTCCAGAGAGCTACCCTTCTTCCAGGCACTGATCCAATTAGCAGTTCCTTGTATGCTCGCATCTTTCCAGTGGATGTTGGCAACCATCGAGCCATTCGACACGCCGCTTCCCTCGACAAGCCTGATACCGCTCATGGCCTGATACGTCGGCATATCATGACCGTGTCCCTTGCGAGTGCTCAAGGTGACATTGCCCGAGCCGTCTTGGTATATAACGAGCATCGTCGAGCCGCTCATGCCGGAGCCGGTGCCGAGGGCGACCCATTGGTACGTGGTTGGGGCTTCGAGGCGAATGTAGAGTGAGGAAGTTGACGATGGAACAGCCCAGCTGTAGCAGACTTTGCTTGAGGATGCATCGCAGTAGGACACTGGGGAGGCATGGGCGATGGTGACAACTGAAGGGGGTAGATCGTAAGTCTTTGGTCAGTGGTCACTAGACTCACTACTGAAGGGTTAACCACTCACAGAGAGACAAGACAAAGGCAAATACCATGTCTAGAAAACGATTCATCCTGGACGTAACACAAGCAGGCAGTGTGCAAAAAAAGAAACAAGGCAAAACGTGACTGAATTGCTAGGCGGAATGGCACAGCATCGATCTGGGTCAATTTCCTCCTTATACCTCAAGCCACCTCCCTCGAACCGAGAGTAAACATTCTTCTCACAGTGAAAAGCATTCCAAGCCACAAAAGCCATGCCTACGTAACCCTCCCAGCGCGATGGTTCCTAAGCCAGCCAATCACGGCCCGCGCAATTCTGATGACCAGCTTCTAGACCCAGCCTAAATTAAGCATTCGCCGATCAACTACGGGGGATCGTGGTCTGTGCCTGCCAAGAGATCTCTTTTTCTTGGCGTGGAGGCGTGAGTTTTCCTGTTTTAGGGCTGGTGACTTACGTGGCTGGGAACAATACGACTTTGATCTGACGATGGCTGTGTAAGCCATGCGTTTTAGAATCTGCACTGCGCAGTTTAAATCAAGACAACGATGGCAGGTTTGGTATGTGTCCTATCCGCAATATTCTGCTGACAGTTAAGTCTAAAGCCAAGTCTAATTGACCATACTGTTGGCAGTAGGCAAAATACATTTGTTCACAGCAGTCACTAATTTGATTCATTACTTCGAGAGCATCTCGCCGTAAGCCTTGAAATGGAATAGCTACATATGTTGTTGTTTCCCTCATTGGTTGTGCCAAGTGTCTCTGCTTGTCTTCCAGTCTCCAATTGCCGAGTGCACGGGTCATTTTCGCAAAATGATGATCTGATGATGCACGTCACGCTCCCCACCTGATTGGCCGCGCCAGCAATGGTCCAGACCTCCGTTGCATCCCTGGAGAAACGAGCTGTGCCAGCTTGCGTGTCTGCTGGATCGTCGATTGATGCTTAAAGCGTATGGCATCTCAACGAGACATATCAAGCCAACACACTAAAAATCCCTGATCAACTTCGAAGGCTGTGATAAGTTTAGGGTTTTAAAAGAGATTTGAGCCCTCAGGGCATTAAGGTAAATGACACCAATAAACACATACGGGCAGAATACTCCTTGCCCTCACTATTGCCTAGGGTCTTGCTCTTGGCTGACTTTCGAAGGCAATGTATTAGATCATTGATTATTTTATTTACTACTGATCGTTCTTCAATTCAAGTCCTCGCCACACATCCAAACTAACAGCAGTCCTTTTACTAAGTCTCCCAGTTCATATCGTCAATGGCTCACCATGTCCCAACTGGAAATCCATCCCACCATACGCAAGTAATAGATCCTCTATATTTTCCCGTGGCGGTTCCCATCTTTTACTGCAATCCGCTGCCAAAGAAACAATCTCACCACTTCTGAAAATGCGAAGAGGCGACATACCATGGAACTGGTCGAAGCTGGCCATTACGCTATTTGTTGGCCAAGCGCTACCCAGCTTATCGCCAATATAATTTGGATCAGCCCCGAAATGCAATAGTAAACGAACCCCTTCAACGTTTCTGGCCGCGACAGCTATCTGCAGTGGTGTAATGGGATATCCTAGGATATTGGGTTGAGCTCCAACTTCCAATAGATGTTGCACTGGACAAAAGGGAGGACAGTCATCTTCGGCATCGCTAGGGGGATATGACCTATGATGGCCTATAAAATAGATGAGAGTTGTAGAAGGATTGTAAAGTCCAGTGTAGCTAGTCAGCAAGCTTTGAAGACGCCTCGAATTCGGTTCAAAGAATTGAACCGCTATTTCAATTAGTGGTCCATCAAACCCGAATAGTCCACGAGCCGCGTCCCAACCTCTGTTCTTCTTGTAACTGTAAAAGTAACCCTCCACTTTCAGACGTATCCTGTTGCTGAAAAGTGCCTCGATATGCGCCTCATTGATAAATCTGTGTAATAGAGGTGATTCTGGATCGTCAGTTATGAGAAGCAGGCTCAGAAGCAACGACGCATCACTGGCTGTTAAATGTTCGTTCCAGTCGATAGTCCAAGAATTCTTATCTCTGCTGAATCCAATTTTTGAGAGTAGACGAATCCATTTCCCACCTTCTTCATTATAGCGCAGTTTATTCAGGGACATCAAATACTGTGTGGAGGGATGTAGGAGACTCTTCATCCGCGCAAAAAGGTTATCGCTCTCAGATATCTCTTTGTCCCATACGAGGAGTGAGTCCATTGCATAATAAACAGAATGAAAGCTGGGGTTGCTCCAAAGATCCAGCTTGTTCAATTGCAAATAGGCACCAGCTTCGATTTCTTTGAGATCTTGTGATGTATATGTTTGTGCCTGGAGGAACAAGACATCCAAGCATGTGGATATAACCTTGTGCTTTTCTGTGGAAAAGGCGATGAGCGGGCCCTGACATATCCGAGCCGAGTCCAGATACTCCTTGACAGTGTAGTGGGCGAAGGATATAGAGTCATCCAGACTACTAATAAGACATCCACAAAGCTCCCGTAGTCTCTCTGAATTGTAGAGAACATGGCTGGTGTCATTTTCTGTCCGTAATGTACTGCTTTTGACGGCATCCAAGAGGAGAACAGATGGAGTACCATTCTCTGGAGGGCCGAGCTCGCCGTAGAACCAAAGCCATTGAAAAGCATGAGACACGAATTGCCAATCCTCACGTGGTATCCGGAGAAATATTCGGTCGTAAGTCTCATCTAGATCTTTAGGAAGTCTTTTCAGAGCTTTGCTAACCACGTCGCGATGGCCTTTCAAGCGCTGTAATTCGTGCAATTGACAAACGGCCCACCGAAACCTATATCTTGTTAATATAGCAATAGCCTCAGCGCAAACAAACACTCACATTCCCTTTGCCTTGGTACTAATAGCGTCTTCAACCTCAACGAGAAGATCATCAGGCCAGCAACGAAACTTTCGGTTTGATCGTAGGATTGACTGAACATGTATGCGAATATCCTGTTCAACCAGTTTATTTGACATTGGCACAGATACAGACACTTTTTCCATCGCTCGTTCGATGTCGATATACTCACGACTCGTGACAAGGATCTGGAAATTAGCGAACCTTGTGTCAGTGACGAGAGTCTGAATGACATCGAGTAAGTCGTCGCGTGGGTTGCTCTCGTCAACAGCGTCAATGACAACGTGCACGCTGCTAAACACCCGTAGAATCTGTTCTAGCGCGTCGAGCAGTTCAGAAACGCTCGGTTCTCCCCCGCGTCTGTAAAGATCTTGTGTTAAAGTCGAAACCACGTTTGCCTGGCGGGAGAGCTGAGTAATGACCCATCTAAGAAACGGGGCAGCCTCGTCCTGATGATGGCCGAAGTAACAGTAGTAGTAAGCACTCACACAGGGCGAGTTCTTTGTTGAAACTCTTTTGCAATGGCTTCGGACGTTTTCGATTAACCAGGATGCGAGAACCGTCTTTCCAGAACCTGGAATACCGTGGAACCAAAGACATCGAGTCCTGGAAGCCAGCCAATCAGTCCAGTTCTGAGAACGAAGCATCCAGCTTCCAGTTCCATCTTCATATAGTTTGCGCGACCGATTATGAATTGGTGAGGGATCAGTTGATGTGAGCCAGTTGCACACTCTATAGCGTTGCTCCTCCGTCAAGATGGAGCGGATCTCTTCAGAAGCAGCTTTGATATCTTTTATATCTTTGGTTGCCTCTGTCGTCAGAGCGAGCTGGATGCCATCCTTATACCGGCTGATCTGCTGGAGAAGTTCCTGCACCTGGCCCTGCTTCAGAGGCCATGCTAATGTTGCAAATGTTGCTTGGACTTTCTGCCGCTTTGAGGTGTTCTGTCCGTTACGAAGAGATTGTTTCGGAAACAGCTTCTCCAGTGCTGTCATCGCGGCCCTACACCCTTCGATAGGACCGTCAAAAGCTGTTAGTCGATTTTGCACGGCGGGTGTGAAGGTGTCGCATTTCGATATGAACTCTAGGTTCTCCAGGACGGACTTGAGTGTGGAGATTTCGATTAAAAGGGTGCGTAAGCTGGTAGGCGCATCGGAACGGAGTGCTTCGATGTAGAATTTGCAAGCGCTGATTACTTCTTTGGAGATCTGGATGACTGCGATCGCGCTCGCGACAACGCCCAGTGCTTCAGCCATTATTGGCGCTAGCTTGGCGTAAGAACAAGACTTTTTTGATGTGTGTTCAATCACCTTGGTCGATGTAATAGCGCTGCATCAAAAGCAACAGGTGAATGACGAAAAAAAGAGATGTCAGGTTTCGAAGGATGTTGGAAAGGAAAATACAGAGGTTCTTGGATTTGTTATTTCCCCCGCTGTGGCTATGCAAGGCATTATTATTCGTCGGCTGTCTGCAAGAAATTGGTGGCGTTTTCAACCTGTTGGCAGCGCAGATCATGGTGTTCGCCCAGTCAGCGTTGTTGAAAAGCAATGACCACCGGCCTCACCGCCTTGAGAATCTCAGCCAATCTTCAGAAAATGCCCCTGCCTACACCATCGTACCTATTGCCTGCGCACATGGGACATTGTGACGGATTGTGTAATTACAAAATGATGGACGAAAGAGTACGTGGTGGGGGCTGCTTAAACTTTGCACCAGTGTGATGAAAAAGGCCAACGGGTCTGTAAACGCAAAGTATCTTTGTGGTGGTATGTGGCAAACATCGCGGCTATTTCTACGATTATTGAAGTGTATAGTTTAATCATTGCCGCTAATTTATAAAAGAGAGAGAATTGCCTGAAGGTCAAAAATGTATGACAAGAGTAATGGAGTTATTGACTTCGTATGTGGTTGTCAGAAGCTATTTTACAAATTTGATTGTTTGGGCAAGCCTTTTACTAACAAAACAAAGAGCATAAGAAGACAGTATATACTCAGTCTTTCAGTTAACCTCATGATGCAATTTGGGCAATAATTCAGGTGTTGCTCAGTGGTCTTCTGACTTATGTATGAAGATATCCAGGGTAGCTAGAAACGTCGTTGAAACGCTAGCCTACTTCTGTCTTTATCGTCGGGTGGACCGCTTGTTATCTTGTCACTCTTTGAATGTCTTTCAGCAACATCACGCAATCAGTAAATTAACAACAGCCCGCACACCAATACCACTCTTATTAGCCTTATATATTGCTTAGTTCCTCACCATGGCCAACTATAGCTCACAGCTCTTACTGTATACTCATCATGAACTCAACACGTTGAGTACGGCTGTAAACCCGCGACGCGCCAGCCAGCGTGAGAATTCTAAACTATTCTCAGTCTGTCTTAGTTCAACTTCGGCATAACTTCGTTCCGCACCCATTTAGAGCAAGGGTATGTCTTCACAGACCTCTCTTAAGGCTATGAGTTCCACTTAATCCTCAATAGCGCTTACGACAAACAACAAACATAATTATTTCGTGTTGACAAAATAGCTCAAAATGAATGAAAGGTCTCCTGCTGCATATACGTTAGTGAAAGGAACAGGTATGGTCTCAGCAGGAATCATGCATTAGACACACTAATTTCAGCTATAGGTTCCCTGCAGCGTACGTGGTACCTCTACCATCGCCTTGGCATCTGGTCCAACATTCTGGTTTCTGCGCGATATACCTGCGCAAATGGACAAGAGCTCAGTCAAAGTGCTATTATTGGAGCACTACGCTTGGTTGTAGAAGCTCATCCCGCCTTATGGCATGTTTTTGTTCAGAAGCCATCTTCCAATCGCGGCAATCACGAGCTGCACACCGCCAGGCTGCACACCATCGACTTGGAGAAATGCATCGAGGTCTTGGATTATGACCAAAAACATCCTGAGATCACCTCTGACGATCTCGAGAGAGCCCATAATGAGTGGTTGTGGACTGCTGATGAACCTGATCGCCCATTTTGGAAGCTTCTTGTAAAAGGAAATAACATCGTCTTTGTCTATCATCATTCTTTAGGCGATGGTATATCTGGAATGGTCTTTCATCGTGAAGTTCTTGCCGCGCTCAATACGCTCACCGTCACGAAGACCAGCCACGGTGCTCGTCCTGAGACTATCATTCATGCAGACGAGAATGTTCAATCGCCCATCGAACCGGAAGACGTTTGGGAAGGGAAAGACAGCATCTTGGAAATAATTTGGACACAGCTAGTGTGGTTGTTTGTCAAACTTTTCTACGGCAACAATCGTATCTATGGCGATCTTCCCCCAACCAAGCCTCACCTCAAGTCTGCAACTGCAGTGGCAAAGCCAGAAGAGAGAACCGTCACTCGCATTTCGTCGTATCGTATACCGGCAGAAGACATGTCATCAATACTCAAAGCATGTCGCAAACACCAAACCACCTTCACACCTCTACTAATTACAATGTTTACCATCGTCCTTGGCACCGAGTTCTACCCGAACGCAAAGATAGGTGCAACACGCTTCAACTTTGACTTGAGACCCAGCCTTCCCATGTCTCGTGTTGGTGGAGGAACAGCCAATGGAACATTTGTAAACGCGGCAGGAAGCTGGCAGAGCTGGCATAAACTTGAGCCATTCCGTCAAGTCCTGATTACGAAAGGTGATGCCAAGGAGACATCGCTTGACTCCCAGTCTGTATGGGAGCTTGTCAAGGACTATAAGAAAGAGATGACACGAGCTATATCTGGCCAAGCTATAAGATACTGGATCGGGGTGAAGCGACTGGGAACTGACCTCGAGAAAGTTGTTGACAACGGCTTCCCGTCTATATCCCTCCTTCTCAAGCCGACGTTTAGCGTTTCCAACATTGGGTCATTCGATAATGACAAGGTGGAGTTCGATGGGAAGAGCACAGGGATTTGGCAAATTGATAATATGCAATTCTCTGCCGGAGCGGTAAATGGCAACCAGGGTACACACGGGGCTATCTTTCATGTTTGCGGCGTCAAAGGGGGAGACACAGTTATCACTGCGACTTATGAAGATGGGATTGTTCCGCGGGAGATGGCCGATAAGATCTTAGAGCGTACGGTTGCTAGAATGCTCGAGATAGTCTAATGTAATAAGCATGCTTGTGTTAGAATATCCTTCGACACCTTATGGTCTGTTCGCATTTCCTTCATTCCATGGTCAAGGGTTGATGTGTCGATGCACATCAAGCAGTTCCATCGTTGGTATCACGCCATATTATCCGCTTAATTATCCGACGGTCGTGTTGACGTTGTTGTCCAAGGCAATACTGGTTGCATTTGGCTCTACCTGGAATCAACGGCAATTGAACTAGCCATGTAGCTGGAGTCACAAACGTTTTAAGAGGCGAGAATCATTGGGGCCTTCAAGCTCATGCCAACGGCGAATTTGCAACTGGATTTGGATGTCTCCGCTTTATGCCTAAAGCTTGTTCTAAGTACTACTGGTATTAAAAGTAAGCCAATATAGAAAGAGCTTTCCCCGTAGTCTATTAGCCAGTATCTGGAGTATTGGAAGAGCGATATAACGAGAGCAAGGCTGCTAGGAGAGAGGATCTAAGTCTCAAGGTAAATAAGTCACTGTATGCTAGTATAAAGACGAAGACTGGTGCTATACATGGTTCATGCTAGGCAAGCAGGAGTACGGCATGATTCTGTTCCTAAATATTGACGATTTGCATCATCGCAAATAAACACCATAAAGCCCCTTACACATTCCTCCCCCAGTTCAATGTATGGCCAAAGGACGTCATGGGCCGAAAGCGGTCTTGCTCGAGATGCCAATTGGTTCTCAGACAGTCTCAGGGAGCAACGGCCGCATTCCCAATCACTCAGATTTCGTCTTCGGGATAGTCAATTTCTCCCTCCTCCCCTTCATTGTAATAGTCTTGATCTCCCATGGCTTCTCTCTCAGAATTTAGATACTCGTTCATCTCTTCTTCCTGAGGACTAGGAAGGTCAGAGTGTTCAGTGTCTGTGTGGCCAGAGCGCTGCATGAGTCTGGTAGAGCGTCCGAGGCGACCTTGTGATTTGAGTCGTCTTGTTCCATTGACAACAGGGAAGCTGTAGTTCTCTTGCATTTTCTTACGCCAATAGTTAAGCATTGTCTTCCATTTCTTCTCGTCCTTGTCAATCCAGTCGGCTGGATAGGATTCCTCATGAGGATCAGGAAATCTCTGTTCGCACACTATAAAGTAGTGCAAGTCATCGTTATGCAAAAGTTTGTTTAGCAGAACATGTCCAGTCTTCCTCAGGCGGTTGAGTTGACGTCCGCGTCGATATATGTCCATGCGGGGAGGCATGATTAGTCTTCAGTGTACAGCAAGATGATGGTTGTTGATAGTAAGTAGTATTGGAGGGATTTAGGTAGTTGTGTGGTTGATGTGGATGAAGGAGAGGGAATTCGGGAGGAGAAGAAGATATTTAAATGGCAGGTTTCATTGAATGCATTATGGGCTTTGGTTACCTCTAACAAACGTAAATTTAATGCTCCCGTCCCTCCCATGTATGAACCAGGCAACATCGCGACGGACTCTTTGTTGAGCAAGTTGTTTGTGAAGAAACTAGGAACTACGAGGACAATTCAATATACATTTTCCTTGAACGTCCCACCGTGTTATTGTGACTTGATATACACCGCAATTCACTAGCAAGCCATGTAGCAGACGTTTGGCCGCCTTCCTTTCAGCGCTTATTTGAGCTTTCTCGTCCTTTGCCACCAATTCATTGAATTATGGATACTTCTCAATTCACTCGATACCGCAAACTTTTCCCTTTGTTCCCGACCTCATTTTTGATTAACTCTGTTCTTTGTTTGCAAGGATCCTTTACCATCAAGGTATTACGGAGTCATTAACTGAATTCAGATATCCTAAGGATGTCATTGGACTTCGCACAAACGTAATTGGTACGTTTTAACAATTATCTGTATTGATGCAAGAATACCATGCTCTGTGGGGATAAAGAGGACTCTAAGTGGCTTATGGCTTATGGCTTGGCCCTTCGCCAGTACTTGGTGTTAGAATGGCTTGAGTTGTACTGTCCTATTGGAGTTGAATATCTTCCCAATCAGGTCCTAGTAATACACTAGTGAGTAGGCCGATTTTCGCTTCACCCTTATGGTTCCTGGCGAGCCATGGGGTCTATCGTGGATATTAGCATTATCTTCCAATTCTGTTAGAAGCAACGACAAGATTGCCCCCTGCCCATTGCTCTTAGCACACGATAATATTGTCTCAATCACTGGTTCCAGGCTCAACATTTCCTGTTAGGAGCATTAACTAAACCATTCCCAGGTTGCCCCTATCTACAGTTTGGAACAAGGATTCCGAATCAAGGGTTGCCCCTTCTACTGTAGTCAGCACCCTCACGACTTCGACATGGCCCTTCTGAACTTCTGTTCTAAATACGCATTTACCGGTTTTGTTCTCTTTTTTGGCATGAACTTTGGACGTCTCGAGTAGTCGTCTGGCGATTTCCTCATACCCTACTGGCTGCATAACATAGTACAGTGTATCCATGGTCATCGACAGCATCAGGGACCAAGGCCTCCATGTCAAGGAGCATGTAGAAAAACTCAGTATGACCACCCTTCGCAGCTTGCATCAATGGTGCTGCGTCATTTCCGTTCCGCAACGTCAACGTTGACCCTAGTACTACCCTGTTGAGCTCGTAATCTGACAACAGCCTCCTGTCATTTACGAGCTGCTTGCCACAATGGCGTCTCTCCAAAATCATTCTTAGAATTCGGGTTCACCCTTAGATGTCTCAGTAGCATGTTTACCACGGCAAGACTTCCCACCGCGGCCGCGTAATTTGGAGGTGTCCACAAGGAATGCAGCAACATTACCAGTGTCACCACTTTCCGCAGCATATGGAATATGCTGTTTCGCCCTCAGCGGCCATATTTGCAAACCCTGGTTGATTGACATTGCAGCTCTGTCACCGCCAATCTTGAGCGCTGGGGTATTGGCTCTGCCACAATCTGTGGTTACGTTTTTCATAGCTCTTGCGACATAAATATAGCGGTCAATTACCTCTTGAGCGGAACTCGGAAGTTGTGGACAGATATCAGACTTTTGCTGCGACAGCCGAGGAATACCACGCATTCTAAATCCTCCTGTGTTGGCGCCAACCTAGTCTTTACATCTATCCTATGGTAATTGCTTCGCGCTCGGTGTTCCTCATTGCCAGACACGCCCGCACCTAATGATCGGCCATCGGTATAAGCTCTCCACGCCCATCTCAGATGGTGAGGCTTAAGGCTCCAGATGTCCTACACTCCACGCTTTCTCTAGTGCCAGTTGGTTGAAAATATGAGAATAATGATTGAGAAAAGAAAATATATCACAGTCTTGTTATGGAGTTGAACATAACGTAGCCTTCGCATAGTAAACACATAGATATTGCAGTCGGGAACTGATCCGGGTCGCACATGATATACAATACACGGTGAAGAGCAATTCGCATAGCAATGGCCATGAGAATATTGTAGATGTATTTCTTCCAGTTTATCAATCTAAGCTGAGTGAAACCCGATACCATGATTGTTTCCACCATCAACCGCATTCTACTATCCGCATGGTGACTAAGTTTGAAATAAGTTATGCAAAGGGAAACTCAGTAAGTTGAGTAGGAGCCACAAGCCAGTTCATATAAGGATAGGTGATAGCGAGTGAAAAGGGTCGAGGTGACTTACAAAATCGACAAACTAATATCTGTAGTAACCTCCTCGGTGGGCACTTTTGCTCTCAGCCATACTGTCTATATTTTCGGTGATGCTCTTAATAAAAGCAAGAGTAAACATAAACAGCATCAAACACAGGCTCCAGTACACCGCCCGCTGACAACGAGCAAGAAATTCCAGCACAAAGTCGTATATCGTCAAGACAATCTTCACAGCAAAGTCTTTTAAGCAAATCAGGCAGAACATAATGGGGAAAAGAAGGAGGAGAAGTTTGACGCACTCGGCCACTGGGGAATTATCCATCGTGAGTTTTTGTGAGTGGATGACTGTTTTAAGAGATGTTGGTGGGTCTGAGGTTGTGAGTGTTGTGAGTTGCAGATGCTGGTCAGAAGATAGTTTCTTGCAGATGGAAAACTGAAAAGGGAGTAGTGGCTGAGGATCTGTTTCATATGTAGGCTCAAGTTTAGCATTGATGTTCTGTTGAAATGTAAAGAAACACAGTGGTATAAGGTACATTGACCAGAACACGACTACGTCTTCTTAAAAATAATATCTAAGCTTGTTGTGTCGTCTATTACGAGTATCTGAGCTATAGACATACCACACACTCAACGATGAACAAGATGTTGTTTTTCGTTTTGAACATTTCGATTCACGCGAAAATAGAATTAACCACTAAACGGATCGATCAATTGGTCTGTTCTCATATTTGATGAACAATTGTGAACAGACGTCTGCCCAGAAGCCCAGGTCCTGACCAATCCTCTATGCCACAATCGGATGCCCGGACTTTTAGGCAGCAAATAGAATCAGCGCCAACTTATGGAGCGAGTTATTCTTTGACATAATACCCAGTTTGTCGTAGATAAATCAGAGAAAGGTATCTTCGCGCTCGAATCTCTGTCTCAGGAACTCGACTTGACCTCGAATACCAATCACCTCTCCATGATTCGTGGCGGTTATTTAATTTCAGAGCCCGTGGCCAATTGCCTCAGCACTGTTGCTCAATCTGCTACGCTGTGATGTGCTCAGAAGCTCATCCAACTTGTCGCCCTTTCTCAAACTCTACCCTTTGCGATGCTTGTTCTTCGCTTCTGCTGTCGAGGAGCCGTCGTGGTCGAGCAATATATCATTCCAATGGCTCATTCGCATTGTTGACTTCAAGAAAGTGGCTCTCTCAAAGGGCGACAAAGAAAGATGTAAGATGTCGTAATATATATACAATGTCATCGTCGGCCAGAAATTTGGATGTTGGCAATGACAAGGCTTTGGAGTAATTTTCATCGGTCGATCGGATAACATGCTCGAATACCAAGAACATGCCACTGTAATAAATATTACCCAAAAATTTTGGAATTACTGGACACACTTTGGTGCCTCAGAGTGGGCGTGGAATACCAAAGTCAAAGACAACTTAGAGAAACTCAAATCATTTAAGACTTTTCCTGTTTGTTACTTATATGTACCCCAACTGCTGCACCTTTTACTTTGTATCAACTCTGACATTTTCTCTTGCATTCTTCTCTCCCAATTTTGCTGTAGCCATGGCGTCGGCCGCATTGAAAGCCATTGATGACATCAGCTATTGGGACAGCGACGGTTTCCTGACTGTCAAAAATATCTCCGATGACTAGCGGGCTACTCTTAACAAGTATCTTGTAGAAAGACACCGCCTTGTCGCGTATACCCAATCATTACCCTTTCTTGTTATGGAATGCCACGGCGGTCCGCCAGACGACCCACCGTTTTCCATCGCTGGGGCTATTGCCATTTGGAGGGATGCCAATGACATTCCCTTCCTACCTGTCGTCGGGGATTTTGCAATTGGCGACGTAATCGAAGTCGAGGACGATATCGTTGATCAAATTGACTGGATGGAAATACCTTCCGAAGACATCATCGTTTATCTTGCCAACCTCTGGCCCGAGTGTCAAGCCATCACTTTTCTATGGACAACACTGGTAGTGGAGCTGCCACTTGTCAGTGAAGAGCATCATTCGAAACGGCTACAGAATCTCCCTGGGTCTCTCGAAGGGTCCCTCTATGGGTGTTCGTACATACTGATGTTCAACAATGGTCCGTTACCAAATGCAGAGAGCAAACGCAAGTCAGAGCTCAACCCGGATCCCGAACAACTCTTTAGACCCGCTAATCACAAAGTTGGGGATCTATTTCTTGTCGATTATGCCACTGGAGTCACACAAACAGTATGCTACTTTGGGCGACGATTCACTTTCGGCTGGAAAAGGGATACCCCTCACGATTTTGAGACGAGAATCAGCCAAAGCGAGGACTCGGTCCATGGGGTCAAGTACATTGCATTCAACCAAGCTGCCTTTGTGTCAAACGCACCCGAAACCGCCACGGGCTGCGCATCCGTGCCTCTTCGATCTCGCAGCGAATCACTCAGACAGCGCCAGCCTTCACAGTCAGCTGTACAAGAATGCGGCATCCTCCACTTGGCCAATGATCAATTGAGGAGCAGCAGCCGAATCGACACTTTCATCATGTATGCCGACTCGTATGATCCCAAGCTTGATGAACAAAGCTAAATGGACTGTGGTGGAGGTGGCTATTCATGGCTGTCTGGCTCAAACATACGCCACCAATAAAGATAAAGCAGTAATGGTCAGATGAAAAGCAAGAAAGCCTATCTCCGGCTGTGATGACACGTGGCTGGTGTTGCCTAAAGTGTGTTTCAAAGTGTCTGATTTAAAGTTGTCGCGCTATAGCCCTGTCGTCAAACAGCCAATAGCTAATAGCGTTTTACATCAACACATAAGCTAAACATTTAAGAATCGTGACGACTACATTTGAGAACGACTGGGGCAGAGTCTACGCCGACGCAGCAGCTCATCTCGGGGACAAACTAGTGTGTCAAAAGTTCTGCCGTTGCAGGCCTTTTTTGTCAACGTTCTTTATGCGGATCAGTAGGGCCAGTATCCTCGTCCCGAGAAAATAAAAAGACGCTACCACATATCAGGTTGCCTACAAACTCTATAAACATAATAGCATAAGCATATTAAATTCCTCTATTGATAGAAGCCTTTGCTACAATCCCCCAAAGTATTCGCTCTTCTTGACTCGTGAGGGTTGGTCTGGCATGCATGGCCTGGCGATGCATAAACCCTCACGTAAATGCTTCCTGACTTGCAAGATCGGGCATGCGTTATTCCCCAGGATGCGTCAATAGTAAGGAATGCGGAAGATGCTTTGCAAGGCAGAGATGATCACAACAACCACATTCCGGAATTCGGGTAATGGTGCCAAGATGCAAGGGGGAGCATTAGCCTACTATGAGGTTAACTATTGTTTATGCATAAAGAGGTGAAACAGAACGTTGATAGGGCTAATGTGAACAGGTGTTCAAATGTGGGTCCACACAGTTTATCGCATTCCTTGTGTCAAGACAATTATACCATCCTGACGGAAACCTGAGCCAATGCTCCTGACAGAGGAGACTGGCTGAGACTTATTACGAAAGCCACATTGGAAGGGAGGAAAAAGAAAGGGGAATAAAGAAAGATCCTTGCGCCAGTCTGTCGCACCATTGTGTTCTTCCATCAACAATGTCCTAACAGATAAACAATGTCACAAGACAAGGTGTCAGCGCGACTTTTAACGACGGCTGTCTTCATAACCGGTATACTTGTATTTCTTGCACTTCCGTTCCTTCCAGGGAGGCCAAAACAACATGTTGTCAGACCAGTAAAAATATCGCTCCACTCGGAGGAGCCGAATGAGCCGAATGAGCGTTTCCTCGTCGCATTGTGAGCATCATCTTGGATTCGCAAGATCGAACAGTTTGCTGATACCATGGAAGTGGCGATTCCTATAGCCGCAGCGGCTTCCGGACGAACTATACGTATACCAGGACCGGACCCGGAGTGGATGACATGCAGAGGACAGAAAGACCAAAAGACGACCGTGTAGACGCCCCCAGCGCGCTGAATCCAATCGGCAATCCAGCGTTGCCGGGAAATACATCGTCTGGTGGTTATAACTGGGCTACGTACATGACAACTGAATTCAACAGCACTCTTACTCTGGCATATATCTTTGCCCGATCAGCTTCAGTGGTGGATGCGGAGATCATACCATCGAGAAGCAAGTCGTCGTTTTCGTTTGCGCAGCAGATCGTTCATTTCCAAGACACCATCGGCCATCGTCCTCACTACGCGGCATGGACTGCCAACAACATAGTGGCGACAGTCTGGTTCGGTTTCAATGACTTGTCTGTCGTATCGCACAAGAGAGGCCAAGCCGCCGTATTGGCGGCTGCAAACCGGCGTATCTTTGAGCTATCTCAGATCCTCTACGATACAGGAATCCGCAATTTTGTCTTTATCGAAGTCCCACGTAAGCAGTCGTTCATCTTCCCTTGAACCCGCTGACAAGTACATAGCCAAGGAATTGTTCCCTTCACATCAAGCACACAAGTCCAACGACACGCATCATAGCTACGAAATGGTCTCTTACGCAGTGAATCGGTGGAATAGCCTTCTGAGGCAAAATACTGTTCGATTCCGGAAGTCCCATCCAGACGCAAAGGTCACCTACGTAGAGATATGGGACATATTCTATGAGGCTTTCCTACGGCCCCAAGATTTGGGAGCACCGAACTCAACATGCGTCGATCCCAGCGGTAAAGGCTGTGTAAGTCATTGTCATGCAGAGCTGTTATTAGTCACTAATTTGATCTAGCTATGGGCCAATACGGGTCATCCTGGAGAGGAGATTCATAAGCTCATTGGCGCTAGAGTAGCTGAAAAGGCTTGGGGTAAAGCTGCTATGTAGACTCCAGCTTTTAATATTAGAATTGGTCAGTTGTAGGTATATATCAGCACAAGCACATTACATACTGTATTTTTCCAAGTGTAACTTGACTATATCTCACAGATCACGCCCTTTGGTCATTGAAAAGCTTGTACAAGTGACCTTGCTATGTTGACTTGTGTTCTTTGTTTTATCATCGCTAAAGTTCAATGTTGGAGAAAGCGTAGAAAACGTCAAAGAGCTTGCTGGATCAAGCGCCCGCATTGATCCATTATTTCTTCCCACCGAGCACCTACCAGGTTCCACGTCAAAACCTGAAACCCCAGCTTCTCAACGATGCTGAAGTCTGGTTTCAGAGCATCAAAGATATAACAAGGACGGTCGGTGTATCTTGGTCCCTCTTTCTCTTGTACCTCGTCATCATACCTCTTCAGCCCCTCGATCCAAGGCTTGCCGGGGGCAATAGCTTCATTGTGCATACACACCAGCTGCAGATCGACGGCGTTTTCTTCAGGCGTGGACCAATCTCTAGGATCTAGATATCGCCAGTGGTCACAGGATTGGTGTACCGGGCACTCATTTGCGTTGCTCTGGCGGATCCGAAATCTTCTAGAATCGGGGTCTGCACTAAATCTAGTGATGAAACCCCAGGAGAAACTTCTTCTCGATTGCTCGGTTTTCTCTACCTGGCAGTATCGAGAATCAAGGTGTGGGTACGTTGGACTTTTGTCGCCGGGGTCTACTAGCATGGTAGCCTTGCTGGGCAGAGGCTGAATGGCTTGTTCGATTGATGCCCATTCGAGCTAGGCGATTATGGCCCGAACAGTCGCCAAGTCATTCTGCAAGTTCGGCTCAGCCTCCCGCATGCATTTCAATCTTCCCTGAAGCATATACACTCTCAAGGACATGTATGCCAAGCACTGTTGGTCTTGGACGTCACACACCAGCATTTGAATCTGTTTTATCTCCTTGATCATACTATCCTCCATCGGTTTTCTCTGGTGCCTGATGATCGAGATCTTATTCTCCAATTTGGCCACTCTATCAGTAAGATATTCCATTTTAAGATTATGGCCCTTTATAGAGAAATTCTCAATAGTTTTAGGGGATTCGTGTTTGCTTCGGAAAGGCGACGGTGTTTACAGCTTTAATTTCCTAGAAGGAATCTTCGTTCTGAAGTATCTGTCTGTAATTCTTGATATCGGTAAGGTTAAGGGGAAGTCTATTAATATACTGCTGCTAGAATTCGTTTGGATATGCCGTATAGATGAGCTTTTATTTAGGTGTGTATGCTGCTATCCTATTCTGTTATTATTTTGCATTAAATTATCTCTAGAGGTATATTAAAGGCACCTTTTTATAACCGTAATAGTAGATAAGTAAGTTATCTTTTAGGTTTTTATAATATTAGCTTTTTGCTATAATAATTAGTTAGATATTTTAATATAATATTTAAGTTATAAGCTAGATGTGTTATTTACAGTTAAGACTTGTGGCTAAGAGCTTATTCTAGCAGATAGAACCTAGGCGACGGTGTTTAGGTTGACGAGAGCTATAATAGTTTCCGGTTTAAGGGTAATATCCTCGTCAGTGAGTTGATGTTGAACAAAAGTCTGGATGATTGTTTGGTATATCTTTCTGTCAAGTCTCGGGCAAGAAATACAAGGAATGACTACCAGGAAGAGTTGGTTGCTTGGTTGTAGAGCCAGGTACGCAGGACAGCTGCTGGGTAGGGAATTGCGAAGAGAAGGAACCCTTTTATACAGGATGATTGCTTCAGGGTGTCAGATCACAATAAGTCATAACCTTTGAGCTCCTTATCATCGTCTTTTTAAACATCTATGACAAGGAACAAGTCTTTCAAGGACTATTCCTCCAGGACTTGTTCGTCCGAATAATAACTCGCCGTTCTTACCATCCCGGACACTGGGCGAACACAAGATGTGAGGCGATGGAACAAAACGCAAATAATGTTCTAATTGGTCAAAATAATAAAAGCTTTATTTAATAGACCGAGGCGATGGGATTAACAAGTTTATGAATTTAATAGCAGCTAAATCGGATCTTTAAGATAAGAGAGGATAATCACAATTAAAACAATCAGTAGCCTTTCTGGTGGGTATTTTAAGTTTTGCGTTTAAGTGCATCAATCCTTATCTCGACTTATCAGCTTATCATCGCCCCGCTGATCCAATAAACTGAACCTGAACCAACGCCAAGGAAACACCAAAATCAAACATAGCATCGTCAACGCATCAATTCAACGTCCAATATCCAAGCAACATTGATCTTCAGGCTCCCTTTGTCAACTGGACGCGAAGTTCGTTCAATGACTGCATCTCGAGATGAGCACTACAGTCCGCACGCAGAACAACCCCAGCCAGACGCGTCATCTGCATGGCCCCGTCTGTTTCGCGTCATCGTCCCATTTGCATCGCACCGCGTCTACTAAATTAATCAACTGCAGGCAGCCGACATAATTTCCTTGTCGCCCGATCCTCAAAAAAAGTAATCAAGGCAATCAACTGCCTGCGCTGATTCTTATCCTCCCCAACACTACTCATGAGTTATCTCTGTCGCGCAACTCAACAAGCGGCACCTGTCGATACAATGGCGCAGAATGATAGTGCAACATCGAAGGCAGAATCGCCTGAGAAGGAGCAAGATGCCAGAAATTATCGAGACTCCTCGGTCGAGTCCTGCATCGTCCTGGCTATTTCGACAATCGTTGGTCGAGCTCATGCGGAGTCAATGCCAGATTCTGAGCCATCTACTAGCAAGGAGGGTACTGCGCGACCAGCTGAGGAACCGATTAAATCCGAGCCAGAAGAGCCTCCTAGCATCCTAATGTCGTTGTCATTGGTTGAGCCCTCTAGCCAGTATAAGGCAATAACTCCCGAACCACTAGAACTTCCTTACCACGATCATCAACAACAGAAATGTAAAACTATCCCGATTCTGGCGGACTACGACATTTCTCAGCAAGAGTTTGAGAAGCCTTCAACGGAGGAGAGGTCAGATATGCCTGCAACGAAAGATACACCAGGCTCTATCCCCGATTCGAGTTTGAAAATGAATGCCCAGAAGGCAACAGCTACATATCTCGAGACACTTGCCATTGAGAACAAGATCGCCAAAGAAGAGGAACTACAGAAGAAACTGCAGGAAAAAATGGACTACAACTGCAACGTCATCCTCGATTGCGATGTCAGTATTGACGTTGAGTGTCGTGCAATCAGCAGAGCCAGAAACAGGAGAAGGCCATTCTGGATCCCATGGTTCATGGAACGTCAACGCTACCTTACGTCCAAACGCAAGAACCTTCAAAAGAAGAACGCTGAGATGGAGGGGGTCAGGAAGAGGCGCTGCAAAAAGCTTGAGGGGCTGATGTCTGAGAAACAGAGACTTGCAGAGGAGCTTACTTATGACATTTCAACGATACATATCAAGCCAACATATTAATAAATCCTAATTAACTTGAATTTTTTTAATGGCGATATGTAATTACCCTGGATAAAGAGTGAAAAGATGATTCAGCCAAGACAGTTTTAGGGAATATTGGCCCACTATCCCTTATCGACGGAGATATTATGGCGCTCTTCGCTCTTATTGCCGAGTGTAGGGATACATTTAGGGTAGGCCAAATATCTTCATAACGCGTCTGAACTAGTTTTATTTCTTTTTGTTTCTCCGGCCACTACAGATTAAAAGGACCACAGGAGTCGCCAAGTTCGTCTAAATATCTCAAATAATAGAGGTTCAGATTGCTTCCAACTCCATAATCAACAACTCCATGCGACTTGTCTTGTCCTTTTTACCTATGAAAAAAGCCGTTTGCGCGGGCTTTTTGAATGGCGTCAAACCAGATATGCGCCATTTTGCTATAACCGTCATCGTTGGGATGGGTGCCATCCATCAAATCCTCGACTTCGGGTCCTTTGGTACTGTACATATCTGCAAGAGCTATCCTTTTTTGTTCGGCTTCCTTCAATACCACGATGTTACGGAGATAACTGTTGATGTCCTGAATTCGCGAGTTGACTTGTTCATCAGCATTTACCAGCAACGTTGACACGACAACGGTAGAGAGGGGAGAGGTCTTCCATAAATATTCAAGCAGATTATCCATTCGGTGCCCAAAAGCATCAAGCTTATGGCTCTGGATACAGTCATTGGATCCGGCGTTGATTGTGAAGAGGTTCGGCTTGAGACTTGCGACTGATCGTCTCGCTTTGCTTTCGATCTGATCAAGGCGATAGCCCCGCCATCCTTCATTTTCGTTGTTATGCATCAACCCGGCCTTGCGCGAACCGACCATACAGACTTTGTAGCCATTGGCAAGCAGAAGATCTTGCAGAACCTTTCTGTATCCATTTCCATCCGAGGATCCGACGCCATATGTGACTGACCCTCCGAGCGGCATCAGACGTAACGCAACATCCGGGGGTGTTTCTTGTGTGCTGTGGAGGACTGATGCCTGTTTCACCTCGTCGCTAATTGTGGATATGACACGAATTCGAAAAGGGCATTGCCCTGTGATAAACTTCTGGCGGGACCGAGATAGCAATGGTCGGAAATGCATTGTTCAAGCGGCAAGTGAAGCAGATGGGGCGGGCCAAGTTACAGGCTATTGTGAAGAGGGGTATCAAGCCCCCAATTGGATAAATGTTCTGGAGGTCAACGCCGACGGGGCCAAGCAGTTAGTTATGTCCACTTAAATTCGCCAAACAAACATTGTCACACAACCAGCCATTTTATGACCCGCGAAGCATTCCGGTCTCAGCTGTCACACATGTCGCTGGGAAATAAAAGCTCGATTGGTCAGATACAAAGGTGATGACCGCCCATGGCACACAGAATCTACCTAGGCTGCAATGCAGCAATGAATTACTAATGAAGGTGCTGAAAGTGGCTGTCTCGGTCACTATGAGAGGCTACCGAGAGTGGGGCTGTCGGAAGAATCACATATCACCGAACCTACCAGGTACGCCAGTACTTGCTGGGCACAAGGTTAGGCTTTAGGCTGCAGAGACAGGTGATGGGGTGATCCCACTAGCAATGGGCTGTTAGTAAGATGAATGATGCTAAGTATAATCTATTGTGAGCTAGTGACATGGCACTGCGGAGCAAAGTGATAGTTGATTGCCATTGCCAGTGCGGCGATGTCTCTGTCTGCAGGATACGCATCAACGTTGATGATATTTGGATATGTCGATGGTGACATTGCCGGCCAGAGTAGCTCAATTAGAGCTCGGTTAGCGTTCCTGGCGTTCGGAAGGATAGGGTGCAGCAACTGGGATGGGTACCACGAGAGAAGAAACATTTTTGACTTTGGGCGTTTCCGGTGCTTTTTCATCTTGGTCAGCTGGTCAGCGATCATTTTCTTTTGTTTTCCTGTATTGGCGTATTCATCGAATATAGGGAACTGGGCTCGCGTGAAGAATCCCTTTTTCGCAAATTCGGAAACGTCGACTGGAACTAGGGTGGCACGGCCTTTAACCCCCCGGGGATACTTCTTATCGACAAGATCGTCTACAATAATGATGACGGCTGGTCGGTCCGCGATGAATTTAGAGACCCGGGATCTCGTAAGGTCACGTACATAGCTCCGGTTCTCAACGCGGTAGTTGACCCTCTCCAGCCTCGTCATCACCCAATCCCACTCTACCTGACTCATCCGTGCATGTTTGTTGCCTCTAAAAGTGTCCGTGTTAAAACCATGGCTGAGGTTGACAATGATGAGCTCCTTGTTTCGGCTGGTGAAATCGTTCAAGCTATCAATAATGTCTTTGAGGTACTCGCCATTGCCTCCATGCCAGTTACCAGCACCAAAGCTGAAATGGCCAGTTGCCCATTTGCCGTTTGTCAGGGTAGGACGGATATCCAGCCAGCGTACACCGTATTTCAGCTGGGCTGAGATGTTGAGCATCTGAGTTATGGTGTTGGCCGGTAAACCCATAAATGACCCGCCATGGAAGCTAGACATGCCTGAGTTGTGTGTTCCAGGTATGGCCAGCTCGCGCAGGGAAAGACATGCGATCCGGGGGTATATAGAGTGCATCCAGTCTTCGGGGGGATTGCTGGAAACAAGCCATGGCCAAAGTGAAGGATTTCGAGGATCCCTCTCAGAGCTGGCGATGATAAAGGGAAAGTTATTGTCCCAATGCCATACCAACTTATGAAATGAGCCGCGCTTGTTGTTGAGGGTCCTAAGCTTTGTAAACCGGATGCCAGCACTACCGGACTTATATCTAAGCTCGAAATCGGGCTTGCCGGGCAGGTCTCTGAATTTGTAGCTTGCTTCACCGGCATCGTCCTCGTGGCCTTTGCCCTGGATGTAGATTCTGTTGGACGTGCCTAGCACCCAATCAGTTCAGTCAAACAGACGATCAGAATAGAGTTCCTCACCTGGCTGGATGATTTGGGGAAAATTGAATTGTCTCATCTGGTAGCTTACCTTTCTAGACAACGTCATGTTCCAAGGTGTTGCGTTGACAAGCAGGAAGTAAGATCCGACCTTAGCACAACGACGCTCAAGCCGCTCTAACTCATGATTGCCCGAGGCTCCAACATCCAAGACTTTACTGTCCGAGCGAGCCTCAACGCCATTGATAGACAGCTCGGAGGGTGGTGCAGCAATGATCACGCCAGTTAGAACAGAGATGTACAAGAGGAAGCGGCAGAGCATCATGAAGTCAATGGAACGCTGCCGCGCAAAGACAAGGTAGGTAAGAGTGAAAGCAAGAATTGAGAAAGCATGACCGGGAGGGGAGGGCATCGCCTTCTTTGACGGAACTCATTGTCATTTAATAGCGTTTTCTCGTGCCCGAATTAACTTCATCAGCACCCACTTTTGGGGGATCTGGCTTCTCATACCGTGGGCCAAAAGTTTAAAACTCGCGCTTTTTGTAAAATGATGAACACACGATATCATTTCCCGCAACATAGAGTTGCACCCAAAAAGCGTGCATGATGCACTCAGCGTCAATTCACCGTGCCGGTACAAGATGAGGCTGCTGCACGATCTGACCATATTGGCAAATTTAAAATGTGTGTGTCTCAAGCCATGAAAGGTGGAAGCGCCAGTCAGTGCCGCTGGAACTTAGAATAACGCGTGAGGGCAGAGACGCTGATTGAATCCGTGTATTGCAATTTCGTGGAGGTGGACTCAATGTCATCATGCCTGTAAAACGAGAACGCGAAATGCGCCGTGTTTCTTCCACGAAGGCCCGGGCGAACCATGTAGACGACGGCGCTCTTAAAGTTTCCAGTGTGTAGTAGTTTTAGTTGCGCCGATTGAGATGGAGGAAGCAGCAATCATGCTCTCACTTTATTCTTGGCTAAATGTGGCGTCATGGAGAGTATTGCCTTCTCAACTTTTTCAAAATGACAGACCTTGCGAGGTACCGATGCTATTCTCACATTGTGAGAAACGACCATCAAAGGCTTAAGAGTCTCGTCTAGTACTAGGATGAGCCGGAGCCAGCAACAATTTGCATTGAATGCAGCCTTTTGGTCATGAACATCAGAATGGCGCTTGAGGACAGGGAGTGGCCATCTTGACCAAGCGCTGCAGCCCCTCTTGGCGTATGATATTATTATCAGGTATACCTATCTAACACTTATCAAGTAATCAGTTCTTTAGGTACTAACCTAGGGTGATGATAGTTCTCCACCAAATGGCTAATGCTATTAACCTTCAAAAACACCTCCAATCTTGCATTTCCAAACCCTGAACCAATATCTGTGGCATTACAAAGCCCAGTCTTGTCAGAATTGATGACCGCTGAGCTATCTATCATGAGACTTGCCACTACCGGGTCATTGACTGTCTTTACCCTGCACCTTGACTGCAGCGCGAGGAGGAGAACGCCAGAGACCACCAATAGCGCGTTGATACCGAGCCACGTATACATCCGCCATACTGAGACCCGGACTTTAAGTAAGGAAGAAGGCTGCCAGATATCGACTTGGGCTGGGCTATCTGGATCAGAGAAATAATCCGTTAGCGCGCTCCAAGCTCCTTGGTACGCTTGAATCAGCGAGTTACGGAGGTAAACTTCCAACTCACCGTTGTGTGCCTCGGGATCAGACAGGCCAAGGGCTGCTATTAGACTCTGAACTTCAGGCATCATACTAAATACTTGCTGGATAAGGACATCTGCTGAGATGTTTGTAGCTTTTGCGACGAGAACCCCGGATGACAAAAAGCAAATAGGTTTGGATGGCGGCCGTGGATCCCTTTGATAGCACCGGGTTACCCCTGCGGTTATAGTGAGTTTTGCGACAGCTAGGCAATCCGTGTAGTTGTTGTTCCAGCTGACATTAATGAGTCTTATTCCATTTGGCAACGGGTCGAAATCGCTTGTGCCACTGTGGCAGTCGTAATTGTTTCCCTCGCCTCCATTGAAATTGCGTGAAATATAGATCGCGGCATACTTGGTTCCAGAGAATATCGCTGCAGGCGGAAGTTCAGTATCGGGCAGTGGTTCCCAAGGAGTGTCTTTGAGCAAGGCAGTATTGCCAGGCAGAACTTGTGATAATGGTCCAGATGGGCTGGATATGTTCAGGTATCCACTGAGAGAATCCGTCACAGCACCCTGTATCCCAAGGGGGAGAGATTCACCTTCTTTAACCCATGCAAACTTCTCGATGTTGAAGACAGGCACCGTCGCGTTTTTCACAATTGTCGCGTTGGGGTAAGATTTCAATTGCGTGACTATACGTTGGGCCGGAATCATTTGCAGCCCCCCTGTTGTATTTATCATCGTCGTAGAAGCCAAGAATGCATGGCCCGCAGCCAGTTTGACCCTACCATTACGAACGTCTGGATACATCGTGTACCACTTCCAAGGATTTAAAAGAGCCGGTGCACCACTCAGTGATATTGATGAAGTAGGGGAACCGTAGACCGTTGAAGGTGCCCAGGAGAGGGAACCGGACGCCAGTGGGTTTGCGATTTGAGCCGGCCAAGCGAGAAGCAAGATCAAAATCACAAGTACCCTCGTGCCTGTCTGAGAGGATGACGGCTGGAACATGCTGGGTGTTGGTGCTTGCCACGAAATTAAGCGGCTAGTAGTAGCGAGTGAGAGACCGGTCTTCTCAAGAAGAATCAAGGCACACCGCCAGGCAGCGAGCGCTTGCCATGTGGTACAAATGATTCTACCGATAACCATCGCGACTGAGAAGAGTGTTGTCACGTCCGACTGCGTAAGTCTGGTCCCGGAGCTGTATGAGCCGTCGATTGCAAAGGACTTTCCATTGAGCCAGTAAACCGCGCCGAATGTGATAGTGGTGGTGTAAACGAGATAGAGGGGAATCAGGTACCATTCTCGAAGGAATTGCAACCAAGGCCGTCGACTGCAAGCCTCTACACAAATATGTTTTCCGCTAATAGCATTTTCAGATATGCCAGGACGGTCCTCAAGTAAGTATTGATAAGAAGAGTTATGAGATTCCATTTGAGAGGATCAAGGAGCTTGGATCCTCGTGAAAAGAATATGACATTAATGCAAATATTTATGCTGGAATATTGCCGAGCTGTATTATCAGAGCTGAAAATCTAAATTTGGTACTAAATACTAGTATTGATAAGATTGCGGTCTAGAACCAACTTCTGGCTGATCTAAACAGGCAACAAGGAGGTTTAAGTGGTGCAAGATCCGGTCTTATCTTATCATCAGGCACTACTACGGAAGTTCGGCCCAGAAGGGACCGTTAACCGTATTTTCACCAATTGCACCTCAGCAGAAGTGACCATTATTGGTAAGGAAGTAGGCAAAGGTGTTCACAGCCCGACGTGGCTTAGTATTTTAGATGACGCTTGAGTCAGTATTAACGCAAGAACTTTGACTTCTGTGTCGTGCATGTAGCGGATTGTACTTCTAGGCTAGAGGCTAACTATTTTGCACCCTTATCTACTGTGCTGATCTCATGTTCTGAACATAAAGAATCCTCCGCCCGCAGGCTCAAAATTGGAAATTCTACAACATTTTCACCTTCCAGGTATCCTTCAGTAGCTGCTAAATGCTCAAAGGCAAACTCAGAAGTTGCCTGACCATATGGAAGGACTTCGGCCCGGAAAACCAAGTTTACTGCATAGTACAATACTGCTGCAGCAGTAAAGCAGATAACCCAGCCTGTTTGGTATATGTGAGTCGCAGCCATAGCCACCCAGGTCGGATGGTAGGCTCCAATGAGCCCCGGGATGCCAAATACTGCTGAGCAAACCCAACATCCAAGCGCCCTTAGATTCCAACCACCGGTGTAAAAGTACAGTGAGCTATTAGAAGGGTTGAATAGGGACGGAGTATGAATGTTCCCACGTTTGATGAAGAAATAATCAACAATGATAATCTGAGCATGTAAGTTTTCAAAGACCTCAGAGTGTGCAACCGTGAGAGGGCTTACTTACAGCACAGATAGGGGAAATAAAGCAATTATAACTGCCTAGAAATATTAAAAAAGCCGATCCAGAAGCTGCAGATAAAGTCAACTGTGTCAGCGTTTGATATTTACATATAAACAAAGAAAGCAGAAGTATATAGAATAGAGTCTTACTAAGGAGCTTCCACGGGACAATGGCGAGGGATAAGACTCCGCAACAAATCTGTCCCCGTACAATTGTAAGCAATTTGGGTACCAGACCGGTAACATCGGCTCCTGAGACACGTGTTAGAATTTCTATGTGACATCCTAGAGAAACCCAGCCTTACCAAAAGGAATAGCATTACAGCCAATATTCACGCCCAATACCGACAGAGCAAATCCAAACGAGGCAAAAAAGCACCCAGCTCGAGCTGCTGGACCCCAAAATCGATCAAGGATTGCGTTGAGAAGATCCCACTGGTTCCAGTATGCGTGACCGAATTTCCCTTGCACTGCCGCTGTAGCACCAATGCCGAAAAAGAAAATCAGCGTCTTACTGAGGAAGATGGACGATGCTTGCCTCCAACCGGCATCCTTTGGCCGGCGGGTGTACCGAGTAAGGTCGGGTTGCTGAATCATTAGTTTAGCCTCAGAGGTCGCAAAAGCGTCGTGGATCTAGTTATGCTCACATTGACTAGCAGTGCAGACGTGACGCCTAAACAACTATTTATTCCATTAAGCATTGCCCATCCAAGGGCTCCCCCCTTTGCTTCAGTAGTGGAAGCAAGAGAATTCATACGAATTCCTCCCCCGTATGAAACACACCAAGAGAAGACGCCGATACAAGCTAGAGGGCAGATTATTGACTCGGCCTAGGATTTGTTAGGCTCAATACGCGAGGGAAGGTCCAAAAGAGTATACACACCGCGAACAAAAACTTTATCTTGCGCGGATGGACTACCAGAAAGGGCATTTCAAGGATCCAGAACAAGAAGAAGGCTAGTAGATCCCTAGAGGTGATGCCAGCGCTAGCAGGCAAGTGATTCGTCATATGCCACCAGGATTCTCCAAAGACGCATCTCAGAAGAACGCTGAGTAGCTGGGACCCAAAGTATGACTGGACTCCAAACCTGTGACACCGTCAGTACGAAGCCTTTTATCTCTTGGTTCAGTGATCAGAGATTAACTTACCAAATAGTAGCGACTACGGCTCGGATCCAAACGAAGAAGAACTGGCCATACCTACACTTGCGGTTAGTAAGTTGATTGATTTGAGATCTCCAATCAATCAGGACGTGATGACTAACATTCCAAAAACACTTCGAGCCAGGACAGGATAGCCAACATGGTACCTTGCGCCTGGTCGACCAAGAGCAAGAGCAACAGAAGATGAAATCAAGTTGGCCTTGTCCGGCATTAGCTGCTGCTCTTTTTCCATAGTCTTACAACTCTTACAATCATGCATGAAACCAGAGCTTGATGCCAGTTCAGACCGACAGCAATCAAACTCGCTCCATTGGACCATTGACTTGCATTGAATGCGTTCTAGACAGTTGCGCAAAGAGTTAGCCATACCAGCGGTAACAGAGGGAAAGGGGATGCTGGCTTACACCCCACCAATAACTGCTAAGTGAGATCCTGGATCGACGATTAGCAATTTTTATAAAGCTCACATCTTCAAAGTGACACGCACCAAGACCACGTCCTTGCATCCGGCGGAGTAGGAGCGAGATCCTTGTTGATCCAAGTCGAGGACTTGGTTCCATCGGCAGAATTGGTAGTCAACACTGCCTTCCATGCAGCCTTCGAACGGGGAACTTGCGGCATCTTTATAGTGGATCAGGCGGAAAGTTATTAGGTGGTTAGTTGTTGTTTGTGAGTTTCTCTCAACAGGGTGAGGTGCATGCTGGAACTTATACAGCTATGATGGTTTGTAGCTTGTGATTTAACATATCAGCAAGGTCGCACTAGGTATCACTGGCGTTGTGTTATGTCGGATGGTGTGTGCAACTCGCTATCTGTCGGAACGGCCATATCGTTATCGAAGACAAACGCTAAAGTGGCGATACAACTTATCTCTCTCAAGATAGCGATATAATCGGGTTGGCCCGACGCTAAGGATTCTCTTGGCTGAACGCGGACCATTCCGAACCAGGTTATCTTGAGCTACATAAAGTCGAAATAATAAAAAAACAAGTTTTAGTTCTTGATACTCTTGGCTATGCGTAATCATTATTTTGCCGAATCTCAGATCCTTTCCACTCTACGAAGTTAGACTTCTTATCGCCGCATACCCTTCCGCGAACCTTCGTATCTCAATTCTTCCGTGGCGCACAACACTATGCAAGAATTTGATACCATCCTTCGCAATGCCCATGTCAATGGCTCCTTCGTTTGTGATATAGGCATTAAAAGAGGGATCATCGTTGCCCTGGGTATTGGCCTTGTTGCCACCGAAGACACGCAAACACTTGACTGCAATGGGGCCATTGTGACTCCAGGCGGTGTTGATGGCCATGTCCACCTGTCTCAAGATCGTTCGCCCAGAGCTAAGGAAGCAGGTTATACTAGTGCCGATACAGGTACGTATGCGTTCTTGTTCCTCACGTGGTGCTTTCCACTAACTCCAACACAGTCGACACTGGGACTCGGAGTGCCATTGCTGGAGGCACCACAACAGTCATCTTGTTTGCAGAGCAATCTCGGGGTCAGTCTTTGAAAGAGCAAGTTGGCAAGTACCATGAACTTGTCAATGACCAAGGTTCATATGCCGACTACGGGTTTCATGCCATCATCACAGACCCCACTGCACAGGTGCTAGAACAAGAACTTCCAGAGCTTGCCCGGTCTGGCATCATGAGCATGAAGCTATTCCTCACATACAAGAATATGAGGATTTCCGATCGCCAGGTACTCTCAGCGCTACAAAAGGCACGGGAGCTAGGAATGGTGGCTCTAGTGCACGCAGAGAATGGGGATCTTGTGGATTTTTTCACTGAGCATTTAGAGGCCCAAGGGCTTACTGACCCAAGGTTCAAGGCGATAGCGCATCCTCCAGAGGCTGAGACTGAGGCTGTTAATCGTGCTATTACATTTTCTTCAGTCATGGATACGCCGATGCTTATCGTTCATGTCTCTGTTCGACAGTCGATGGATGTTATTCGCAAAGCCCAATCATTACTGAGGCCAGTATTTGCGGAAACATGCCCCCAGTACCTCTTACTGGGGAAGGAGAATCTCGACCGAGATCACTTCTGTGGTGCAAAATTTGTCTGCTCACCGCCTTTGCGCAGTGACCCGAAGGACATTGAGGAAATATGGAGAGGAATTATTAACGGCACATTCACCATATTTTCATCGGACCACTGCCCATATCGGTAAGAAATCACGTCCTATTTATTGATGCTTGTGAAGAATTAACTTACACCAACTCAGGTTTCACGATAGCAGGGGGAAGAAGTTGGGTCATTCATACAGTAAAAATGGTGAAGTACAAGGAGTGTAAGTTCCAAGTGAGCCATGTACCTGGCTAGGGCTGACCATCATTGAGTTTTACGAAAATACCAAACGGCCTTCCTGGAGTCGAAACTCGGTTACCCTTACTCTTCTCCGAAGGTGTCCTCAAGCGTCAGTGCATTGATGTGAAGAGATTCGTCGAACTCACGTCTGAGAACCCCGCGAAATTGTATGGACTCTATCCGCGCAAGGGTGCCATACAAATTGGATCAGACGCCGATATTGTCATTTGGCACACACAGGATACGTTCGTGCCTAGAAAGTTGGTCCACAATCTACACCTGCATGATGGCTGTGACTACTCGCCATATGAGGGCATTGAGTTTTTGAACTGGCCTCGAATTGTTCTCGTACGGGGCAAGGTGGTCTTTCAAAATGGACATATAACAGGCACCAAGAAGTATGGACAGTTCTTGAAAAGGAAATCATGCGCTCTCCCATATCAGCGCCGAATGGAAAAGGAATGGGATGTGCTGCGTGCCTCTATATGAGTGGCACGGCAAGCAGGGGATTCATTAGCATGGCTCTAACTTGTAGACTTGACATTAGAAGAAAATGTAAAATACATTTTAGTCGACTTTGCTATATGATTGCAAGCACTAGTTTATGGTGTTTTTTTATTTATTTCTAGTTATAAATATTTATACGTCCTGGCTCGTTTCGATGCTGAATAATGAACCCCACTCACTAGCAAGGCATGAAGTTTCCATACCGAGTTGTCGAAGCATACCGTACAGTACAGTGGCGACCGAGTCTAGAACTGTAATGGAATATTTCCTTTCCCAGAATATCGCTCTTTGAGCAGCCGCAAGGTTGGTACACATAATAACAATGACCCGGCCACCATTCGCGACAACCTCTGCGACCATCCCATCCAAGTCTTTCTCTTGAACACCCGCAAAATCAAAATTTGTCGTTAAGCCGGAGCACTGTGATCGTGATCTCGCTATAGGGAGGCCCTCAACTGCAAAGTTCTCGCAAATTGCAACATTAACCTTCGCCACGTATGGTGTCACAAGGCCAATTTCTCGAGCTACCTTGGGACGTAAAATATCTCTTATCGCCAACACCGATGAAGTTGCCGGAATACCGGTGGTGTTCTCAATTACCCGACATAGAGTCTCGTCTGTAGAAAACCCCAGCCAGGCTGCGGATGTGCCGCTCCAGCCAATGATGTCGACTTTGGCATCGGCTAAAAGCCTTGCTGCGTGGAGCATTGACTCTAGGGTGAATTGAGATTTTGAATCGTCAGAAAGTTCGATTTTCGTAACTCGAAACCTCGCAAAATGGAGGCTAGCTACAGTTCCCGTCTGTGCAAGGCTGGAAATCATTTGCTGCGTTATCGGTTCCAGTATTGTGTTTGATGAGGGTACAATAAGTCCCAAACGAACTTTGCGTGAAATAAGTCTTGAGTCCATTATTGAAATGCAAGGTTTCATATGGTCCTTGTTTGATCGATGCTGATACGATTGAAAATGTAATGCAATTAAAAGAAAATATTATGCGTCCGGCACTGCACCATAAGCAGATGGGCTATGGCTAGGTAAGTTGTAAAGAAAATGCAATTACGGATCATGACGGGCGTCATGTGTCGGAATGGTCCGTAGTCAAAGATAGGAGAAAGATACGGAGCCCTCACGGGGCAAGAAAACACCGGACCTTAGTGTAGGTGTCAAAATAAACTTAGCAAAGAGTCCCCTAAGCTTAGGCTAGATTTACCTAAGCATTTTTATCGCTTAGGGTCAAGGACCTGAGTTTTCTTTCTTTCCTCGGGAGCAACTGATAAGAGTTGTGTGCATCTGTGAGCTAGGCTTCATTCCGTTAGCCTAAGTATCGGGCCCATTCCGATGCCGATATCAGAGAGGCATAAACATCAATCCATAACTCGGGTCACGTCCGTACCTCCACAATCTCTAAAAGTTATCGCTCTGATCCGATTTTATCATGCAAGGTGACAATATGGCCGAATACGGGCGTCCTGCCAAACGACCCCGGGTCTTGGTCGCATGTCAGAGATGCAAAAGTCGACGACAGAAGGTAAGATAAGATAAGATAAGAATCAACTCCACTATCGAGATCCAGCTCCAAGCTAACTAAGAAAAAACCAGTGTGACAACTCGAGCCCAGCCTGTTCAAATTGCGAGAAGGCAAATGTATCGTGTGTATACAGCAACCAGGCCTACCCATCCTCCTACGTCAAGAGGCTGGAAGAGCGAGTTCGTCAACTCGAGGAGAAGGAAGCGGCCGACCAATGTTCTTCAATCCAGGTTCCCAATACCGGGAATCTTCGTTCAAGACCAGTAGGAAACTTCGCAACCAGGGCTCCTTCTGAGAGTCCTTCTTCAAGCCGTTCACCAGAAATTACCGATGTGACCTCTGTGGCAGAGCGTTCTGGTCAACTTGCGCTAGGTTTGGGGGTCTTATCTTCGTGCGCGGGAGCTGAACCTCATTATTTTGGCTTCTCAGCTGGCCTGAGCCTCGCGCATTTCGTTCAAGTTGCAATCGACACAGCCGAAAATCCTGTGGATATTTCTCTACCTCAGCTCGCAGACAGACCTTTCTCTCACCAAGTGCCAAAGTCCAACGCCACGTTGGCCGAACCTCCCACTTTTAATGCAGGAGCTAGTTATATACGAGCTTATCTGGCCCTTGTGCATCCGCTGTATCCTTTCTTGGACTTGGACAGACTGTGGCAATTACATCGTTCTTTCACCAAACGGCGAGGCAGACAAGAATCTGCCAGTACGGAACAAATTGACTTGACGATAATGCATTTGGTATACGCCATCGGGTCCAGATGCCTTCAGCTACTACAAAAATTTAGCATTTCGAGCACAGTCTCCGAGGGACATTTCCTCCGAGCGATGGAGCATATTCGTCAGGACCTCAAATTTACAAGCACGAAGTCCATCGAGGTGACGTTACTTCTGGCCATCCATTCAATGCGGTCCCCCTATGGTAGGTTAATCCTTATCAATGATCCGTCTAATCATGCTTCTTCCCACTGACAAGGTCATGACAACCAAAGGTATCAGTGTGTGGCATCTTGCCGGCCTG